CCATTTTACAGACGAAGAAAGGAAGGTTCCCAGAGCCCCCAAATGCAGTTTCCTTGCCTCCAAGTGCACTGTCTGCAGAATCCTGGGGGTCATCAGAAAACTGCCCTTTCTAGAGGAGCAGGAGAAATGGCCATCAGCCCTTAGGTTCCATCGGGCATGAAGCAATACGCCCTGAACACACACTGGGAGCCAGTGACCCAGATAGGAAGCGGACGCGGTGCCAGACCTCAAGAAGTTCTCGGACCTGTGGGGGAAACACAAGTTACAGGACTCGTGCAACAGAAACTGGTGCTGGGACCACTGGCTGAGGGTGGGGGGTGCTGGAGTGGCCAGTGGGTTTGGGGAAGGGGGTGGGTTGAACCCAGGGCAGAGGGAAGCTCCCAGGACGTACTCTGTTGCTTTCTCATTGGGCCGGGTCTGATGCACTCTTTGAGAGCGAGCGAGAATGTGCAATGGGGAGTCTGAAAACTTCTGGGCTCAAACCTCAGGTGTACTCCCACTGACCATGGGGCCCTGGGCGATTACTGGACCTCTCTGAGTTTCAGTGTTCTTATCTGTGAAATAGGGACAATGATACCGTGCAGCTCCAGGCCTGCCATAGGTGAGCATCCAGCAAAATAAAACGTGTGGGGAGGAGGAACGGACGGAGCACTGGGGCCTGGGATGACCGTGAGACAGTGAGAGCACCCCGGCCCCAGCCCTTACAGCCACAAAAGAGGACACAGCCTTATTACGCGGCCACTCCTTCTGGCCTTTCTTGGCTGGGCCTGGACTCAGGCACACACAGTCCAGCCAACTCCCAGGCCCCCGCGAGGAGGACACCCGTTTCCTCCTTGGTTCTCGGCCCCTCCTGGGCTGGGAACAGATGTCCCTGCTTCCTGCCCAAGCCTGAGAGGTGAGTTGGCTCCTTTTGCTGCTTCCAGGGAAGCAGGAACCCTGGATGGAAATCTTTGGGCTTCCCCAGAGAGGAAAGCTCTCTCTGCCCGGCACTGCCCCTCCCCTCCGGTCGGGCTCCTAGCCTGGCATCCACTGCTAATACGCAAATGTTCCCAACCCCACCTGAGCCCAGGTGGGGGTGTTGATTGAACACATGTATGAGCCTTAGTCTGGCTGATGCCCCAACTCTTCTCAGAAAGGAGATGGGAGGGGAACCCAGAAAGGCCAGAGCCCCTGTAGAGGGAGGCACCGTAGGCACCTGGAGAAGAAAGGGGAAGTGAAAAAGCAAATGAACATTTCCTGAGCACCTATACACACTAGGAATAAATAAGGAAGGGGGAGCGTGTACTGCACATCTGCTGAGTGCCAGGCCCCGTGCTGCGCCTGCGAATACAAAGCAGCGTGGGAAGACGTAGTCCCTGCCCCTGAGTCGCTGGGAGGTTTTCACAGGCCATCTCATCTGGTCCCATCTAATTCTCACTACAATCCTATGAGGGAGGTACCCACTTTATAGATGAGGAGACTGAGGCAGCTCTGGTCCTGGGACAGTCCATCCCCAGTTGGAGACTGGACCCTCGGGATAGAGATGTCCAGGATGGACCCAGGCAGCTCTCTGTCCCCAGCTCTCACTTCCCCATCCCTGGGAGAAGGAAGTTCTTTGGCTCACAAGCACACCCCCAGAGGAGTTGTCTTCGTTCGCTGGGAGTGTGAGTATCCACAAGTGCCAGCCCCGGAGACGCAGAGGGGAGGATGGTCCTGCCCTGGAGGAGCTCACAGTCTTGCGGGAGTGAGGTGGGAGAGGCTGTGGTGGCAGGAGGCACGGGGCTGAGGAAGGCAGGAAGAGAGGTCCTTCCATATCTGTTATGTACCAGCACCGAGGGGGTGCGTTTTGGAGACAGGGTGACCCACTGGCCCGATCTGCCCAGGACTGAGTGGTTTCCAGGGACACAGGCCCTGCAGGGCTGAAACCAGGCTGAATTGTCACCCTAAGCCCTGAGTTCAAGGTCTGGCTCTGCCATGTGCCTGTGGCAGAAACTACCAGTCTCCTCCCTAGCATCCATCCTCCTACACTTTTAGAAATGACTTCATGATGGTCGGAAGGTTTCCCTGCCCAATTCTACTTTCTCCCTTTCCCGCTTTTTAAAAACGTATCTCAGTTCAGTAAACATTTGTTGAGCAGATTCGTGGTACCATGACCTTCACTGGGTCAGGGAAGGAAAGAATATCCTTCCCCCCATTTCTCAGCAGAGGTAATAACGGAGGGAAGGGGAGTCGAGAATGGGTAGTGGAGGAGGAGACAGTGATGGCCTCTTGGCGTCCTGAGAGCAACTGCAGGGATTCATCCTACCAACCCCCACTTCTGAATGTCCCCTCAGGAAGAAAGGCCCAGGGGACCTTGGAGGAGCTGCTCCCTGACCGAGTGTGGAGAAGTGGATCTTCACGGTGCAAGTGCTGGACTGTGGCAGCCATGGAAGGGCTCTGCTCAGCTCCCCCTTCAAGGACGAACTTGCCGCTCTGCTGCACACGGCGCAGTTAGTGGACCCCCTCCAGCTGCAGCGCCTTCAGCATCCATCCTCGCCTTTGTCTGTCTGTTTTGAGAGCAGTTTAAGGTTCACAGCAATATTGAGTAGAAGGTACAGAGACAATACACGCCCTGTCCCCACACACGCATAGCCTCCCCCGCTATCCACATCCCCCACCAGGGGTATGTTTGTTACTATTGAATCTACATGGACACATCATTATCACCCAAAGTCCACAGTCTACATTAGGGTTCACTCTCGGTGTTGTCCATTCTATGGATCTGGATAAATGTGTAATGGCGTGTATCCACCATTATGGCATCATAGAGAATAGTTTCACTGCCCTAAAAGTCCTCTGGGCTCCACCTATTCATCCCTCCCTCCTCCATAATCCTTGGCAACCACTGATCTTTTTACTGACTCCCTATCTGTTTTGCCTTTGTCTCCATAGTTTTGCCTTTTCCAGAATGTCATATGGTTGGAATCATACAGTATATGGCCTTTTCAGATTGGCTTCTTCCACTTAGTAATATGCACCTAGGGTTTCTCCGTGTCTTTGCATGGTTTGATAGGTCATTTCTTTTTATTGCTGAATAATATTCCGTTGTCTGGATGTACCAGTTTACTTATCCACGCACCCACTGAAGGACATCTTGGTTGCTTCCAAGTGTTGGCAATTATGAATAAGCTGTTATAAACACCTGTGTGCAGGTTTTTGTGTGGACATCACCCAGCATTTGAGCTGAAGCCGCCCTCTTCTGGGGCAGCTCCTGACTAATGACTGAGCCTGCAAAGGGGACTAGGGACTGGGCATTTCTGCCCAGCACGGAACTTCCCCAATGGGCAGTCTTGGCCCCAGAGCTCCCTGTTGGGTTGGCCAAGACTTCATCAGATCTGCACTGAGGTCTGAGTCTCTCCCTACTCAATTCTTCCTTCTCCTCTTTTATCTTTGACAGGTCTTAGCCCCCAATCAACCATCTGCACGTCTAACCCCATCTCAGTGTTAGCTTCTGGAGGACCCGACTGACAAACTCTACCTCTAAAATCAGCCACAGTCTGGGGCTGGCCCCGTGGCTTAGTGGTTAAGTGCGCGAGCTCTGCTACTGGCGGCCCGGGTTCAGATCCCGGGCGCGCACCGACGCACCGCTTCTCTGGCCATGCTGAGGCCGCGTCCCACATACAGCAACTAGAAGGATGTGCAACTATGACATACAACTATCTACTGGGGCTTTGGGGAAAAAAAGGAGGAGGATTGGCAATAGATGTTAGCTCAGAGCCGGTCTTCCTCAGCAAAAAGAGGAGGATTAGCATGGATGTTAGCTCAGGGCTGATCTTCCTCAAAAAAAAAAAAAATAATAATAAAATAAATAAAATAAAATCATCCACAGTCCATCCAATTCCCTCCATCATCGTGACCCCCAAGTCCCCATTCCTTCCACCTGGAAGGTTGCATGGCCCCTAGCTGGTCTCCCTGCTCCTTCTCCTATCCCTTTGTGACCCAGACTCCACACAACCACTAAAGTGATCTTTTACAAACACAAACCACGCAATGCTACTTCCCCACGTAAAGCCCTCCAATTGGGCTTAGAATGAAACTCATTCCTTTCCTCCATCCTGTAAAGCCCTACATGACCTCGCCTTGCCTTCCTTCCTGCTTCCTCCCTCCCCTGGAGTTCACTCTGCTTCAGCCCCACTGGCCTTCCTTCTGTTCCTGGAACATCCCAAGCTCATTTCTGCCTCAGGGCCTTTGCACTAGATGTTCCCTCTACCTAGACCACTCAATCTTTCCCCAAATTTCTGCATGGCTGGTTTCTTAGGCCATTCAAGTCTCAGCCTAAATGCAGGCCTTTGCTGACAACCTTATAAATACTGCCCATCTCCCAACTTCCCCCCTACACACACACATCCAGTAACTTTCTATGTTACTTTTTGAATTTTCTTTGTAGTTCTCCTTATTATTATAAAGTAACTTGTTCATTTAATTATTCATCCGTTTACTGCCTGCCTCCCCACTAGAATATAAACTATGAGCTTGTTTTGTTTCCAGCTCTCCCCAGTGCCTGGCCCTATGCCTGGCACAAAGTTGGTCTCAAAACATATATTTTGAATGAATGACTATATTTAGGGCAGAATTCCCTTACCCTAAGAATGGAATGGAAGTGAAGAAATAAAAAACCCAGGAGACATGAGACTTTAGAGGAAAATGTGGGGACTAGTGCAGAGTTATGGAAGTTCTCCCGAGAATCCTTTTCTGACCCTCTCTTGAGGAATCCTGTGTTTAGATTAAGGGGAGTCTCTGCCAGAGCCCAGGAGAGACAGTTTCAGGACCTCCCTGTCCCGGCCTCCCTCCTCTGCCTCCAGCAGCAGCCAGTGTTACCTGTGAGGGAACCAGTCCCGCAAATATTCACCAAGAAGCTACCTGGTGGGGCCCCAGGCTGGATGCCGGGGACAGAGAGGAGGAAGGAGGGGGTGGCATTCCAGGCAGGGGGACAGCATGACCAAAGGCAGAGAGAGGACACATTCGGGTGTGTTTGCGGAATTATGCAGTTTGATATTGTTCCAGGCAGTGAGGGATTGGAGAAGATGCTGGAAGGGTGAGCAGAGTACCAACAGTCTTACAGGAGAAGCTAAGGTAATAAGACCCACCATTTATTGAGGCTTTCCACGTATTACTGTTATTCTCCATTTTACAGATCAGAAAACTGAGGCACAGAAGGGTATCAAGAATTGTGAAATGCCTGAGACTTTACCCTCCTTGCAAAGTAGGTCACACAACTGGTAACAGGTAGAGGCAGGGTTTGAATAGGGCTTCTGGCTCCAGAATCCATGCCCTTGACCACTAGACAGTCCTGCCTCTTCAGGAGTTTGGACTTTCTTTCATAAGGGATGAGGGAGCCATGGGTTTATAAGCAGGAGAGCAATGTGTTTCTATCACTGGTTTAAAAAGTCATTCTAGGGGAAAACAGACCAGTTTAAACAAGATTCGAGGGGCCGGCCCATTGGCATAGCGGTTAAGTTTACCCTCTCCCCTTCAGCGGCCCAGGGTTTGCAGGTTTGGATCCTGGGTGCGGACCTACACAGCACTTATAGAGCCATGCTATGGCAATGTCCCACATACAAAATAGAGGAAGATTGGCAACAGATGTTAGCTCAGGGCCAATCTTCCTCTCTCTCACACACACACACACACACACACAAAAACAAGATTCAACTCCAGCCTCTAGACCCACTTACTCAACTGTCCCCAACGCTCATGGGGCAGCTCACATAAAGGTGGCCCCATTTGGTGCCCAAGCCACAACAGCTCTGCTGCCTTGGCAGTGGCCCCCGCTCTGCTCTCAGCCTCCCCTGTCCTTCCCAGATCTCCTACGACAGTTTCTCCTCGGGCTGTTGTCTGTGTCTTCCCATCTTCACAGAACACATGTAGAAGCACCAGGAGTCCCGAGGCCCCATGCACCTTCGGGACTTCATGGGCCCCCTACTGCCTGCCCTTGCCTTCAGAGAGCTGGCCCACCGCTCCGTTGGGGAGACGCTTCCTCGGAGCTGTGCCACCTGGGCCGGGTTTCCAGGTCACTGCTTCAATGAGTACTAACCACATCCACACACCCCGGCTCTGGGGCTTCAGCACAGCTTGCATTTGCTTCACCCCCACTTTGTAACTCAGGTAATCCTCGACTCCCAGAGATCAGGGGAGCAGGGCAGGCAGAATCCTGGGGCTGGGGGTGGGGTGGAGTGTGCGGAGCATGTGCCCAGAGACCACTGGGCAGGATCCCAGTGGCCAGACAGGTCCCCCATTGTCCTCCTGACAAATGTTCTGGTCTCTCCCCACCACCATGGTAGTCCAGAGCCCAGTGTGACCCTTCCCTTCAGGTCAAGAACACAGTCCTGGAAGGGAGACAGGCCCAGGTGTGCCCTTGGCTCAGGACTGAGCTGGGTGTGGCCTTGGCCAGTGACTCCTATGGGCCTCAGCCCCTCTCCTCTATCCCAGGCAGCTGCATGAACAGCCACAGCCCTTCCAGCCCTCGGAACCCATGCTGGTCAGGAAATGCCGGGTGGAAAATTGGAGCTGGAGCTAGATTGTGAAGGATGGTAGGATTTTTTAAGTCTTTAATTGCAAAGTTAATTTGCAACAAAATATATAGAGAGACATTTTTGACTGGAGAGAGTAAATGGCTCCTCCACCACAGCCCACTCCCGTCCCTGCTTGTTCCCTCCAGTGCCTGGTCCACATGCCCACTAGGGTTTTGCCATCTTAATGTAGACTGCAGTGGGCAGAGGGGTCTTCTCGGGGGCCTGGCGTTCTGTGCCCCCAAGGATTCAGAGGAGGGAAAGTCTGCTACCCTCTGAGATCACAGGAAGATTTTTTTTTTTTGGATGGGGTGGAGGGGAGTGAACTCTGCTCCTTCTGGAGGTTGGGGGTGGGAAGTGACAGGCAGGTGGCACAGTATAGAGGTTGGGTCAAAATCTCCAGTCCCCTGCCCCCAACACTGGCCTCTTTTCTTCCTGTCCCCACGCCTACCCCAGCTCCATCCCACAGTCTGGGTCTAGTGATGTGCCTGTGCGGAAATGCGGCTCCATTGCAGACTGGTGTGTGACCTTGGACAGCGACCTGACCTCAGTGGGCCTCAGTTTCCTCATTTGTGAGCAGGTCCACGGTGAGGCTTAATTGCGACCGAGCTTGCAGCTCGCTCAACCCAGAGACCAACACCGGGGAAAGCTCCGGACAAGGCAGCTGTCTGCATTACGGGTTCAGGCAGGTGGCCAGAGCACAGGAGGGGTGGGGTGGGGGTCGCCCAGGAGTGCCGCCGAGCGGCCATGGGGTCGCCGCCCTCTGCGCTGTGACTGTGGAGGGATAAAGCTCTCGGCGCCGCCCCGCCCCTCGCCGCATCCCGGGCGGCGCCCCTACCTCCGCGCCCGGCACGGAACGGGTGCGGGGCTGGG